AACACCTACATATATAATAATAAATACAAATAAAACATATTAATAAAACTAGTATAGCAATGGAAAAAATAGTTAATAAAAGCTATATGTATAATTTGGAACTACAATCATTGCATTACTGGTTTAAAAATGCTCTATCACAGAATCCTTCAATTAAATATAGCAATATATCAAAAATTATGCAAGGTATAATAAGTGACAAAGATATGTCAGATATTATAAATACTAATACTCAACAATCTGCAAAGTAAGAAATCCAAGTCCAAATGAAGGAAATACTATAATAATATAAAGCTAACTACTTTAATTATTTAGTCCTATTCAGAGATCACATATTAATTTTCATCAAAGAATGATTTTAAGAAATGTTTTTGATCACTGGAAAATATATGTTGTACACAAATTACATACAAGAAGGGCTACATATAAAGCAGACTATTTTTACTATAAAAAATTGCAAAAAAAGGTTTTAAATGCATTTTCAAAAAACGTATTATTAAAATGGAAATATATTGTTTCATCTATGGATACTTGCACTAATAAATTTCTAATTTCTGTAAACCTTATTAAAGCAGAGAAACATTATTCTAAGTCTTTGTTAAGGAAATATTTTACATATTGGTGTAGCTATATTTTAATAGTAAATAAGGAGAAAGCACTATTAGAAAGAGCACAATCATTTTATAATATGTGTTGTTTAAACAAATGTATTACAAATTGGAAAATATATGTAATGTTACAAAGGCAAAAAAAAATGATACAAGATAAAGTTGATGAGGTAATATTAATTATAATTATCTTTTTTTCGTAATAATAAATAATTTTTAATTTAGGCACATAAATTGTACGCAAAAAAAGTTTTACGAAATTTCCTAACAGCTTGGATTAATGTTTGCGATTTTCCATTGCAAAAAAGTAAAACAGAATGTGCAATTATGCATTACAAAAATAAATTGTTAGAAAAATATTTCTATGCCTGGACGACATATCATAATTACAAACTAGAAAAGTTAAATAAAGAAGAATGTGTTGTAGCATACTATAGAAAAAACTTGTTAAAACAATATTTTAAACAGTTTGTTGTGGTAGGATTTTGCTAAAGTTAATTTAGAAATTGCATTTACGCTTATTGTTGTTAAATCTTATTTCTTCTGTACTAGCGTGTAAACGAATCGATCACTGATAGAATAGCAAATGAAAACGCCGAAATATTTTACAATTCTAAACTTATGCAAAAAGTGTATTTTGCATGGCAAGAGTGGTATAATAAAAAAGTGCAAAATGCTATGAAAATTTGTGAAATGAAAAGCATACTTGATAATAAAAGAAAACGTAGAATATTAATTAATTGGCGTTTATATGTAGTTCGAAAAAAATGTAAAAGAAGAAAGATGTTTGCAGCACAACATTTTTATGAGAAAAAATTGGCAGTTAAATTTTTGAGAAAGTTTCGTAGTTATGCCGTTTATAGGAAAGAGAAGAAAATTAAATTATCTTATTTAAACAGCAAAAGCGAACAAATTATTGGACTACTGCAAAATGTATACATTGAGAAATGGAGAAGGGCACTTTACAGTACCGTACAAGATAAACAAAAACTGAACCGTGCTATCGAATTCTGGGAATTTCGTTTAACTTGTAAATATTTTTCTAGTTGGAAAACATTTTCTCAACAGTATAAAATGAAAATGGTTCACAAAGAGAAACTTAACGAGATCGCTCATAGTTTTTTATTGAAAAGATATATTGTACATTGGCATACCAAGTTGCAAGATGTTTTAGTTACACGTAAAAAAGAAATTCTTGTAATTTCGATGATAAAACATAAAATTATGAAGAAGTGCTTTCTATCTTGGAAAGAGTATATTGTGCAGAAAGTAATATTAAACAATAATATAGAGGCAGCAATAGTATTGCATACAAAATTCCTATTACGCGAAGGTCTTAAAAGGATTTTAAGAAATTCTCTTTGTAATATCGATCACGAACGGGATATGCAATTAGAAAATGCGGCAACGAAATCATTTGCAAATTTGGAAATTTTGAAGGAATATTTCGATAAGTGGCATTCTGTAATTTATTTAAAAGATAAATCAAAACTTATGTGTAAAATTACAAATAGCCAGGTTACACAAACTCAGCCTACATATAACAAAATATTTGATAGTTTTAAAACACACTTAGTTATACCAGAATACATGATGAAAGAAAATACAATTTCAAATACCTGTGATTCATTTGCTACGCATCCGCAAGAGAATTGGCCGTTTAATTTATTTCAACCATTTTAAAGTAATAATATTTTTAATCAAGAAATATGTACGTGTAATCAAATAAAACAACTCAATAGATAGTAAGAAATAAACTTCTATAAATCATTTATTATACTTACATAGTTTATGTACATTTTATTGTCTTAAGATAATATCAATTTATATAATACAGTTACTGTATTATAGTAAAAACGAATAAGATGTGCTAAGGGATTTTTATATCGAATTGTTCAATATCAAAAACATGTAGTCAAATGTTGGAATTTCGAAAATCTCATAAAATGCTACTACAGTGATTATGGAGCATCGTACTCCGCATTCTACATTACTTCGCGGTAAGTCGTTCAAACAGAAACATGACCTGAGGAAAATTAATGTACACATACTCTAAAATGCTATATTTATTCTATTACTTTTATTTCTTCCGCTTAAATTTCTTTAATTCACTCTGTTGCATGGCAGCATCCCCAAAGATTTCTTTCACCTTGCGTTTACGTTCTTCGTCGCTCTTAAGTTGTTGTTTTATTTGAACCTTCGCTAAGAATGCTCTGTCCCTTCGTATTTCACGTATAGCGCCCTTCATTTCTTTCTTATATTTATGCAAGAGTTTTTCTTTTTCGGCCTTCTCCTTCGACATGGGCTTGTGTCTTTTACCGTCATACCTGCAAAAAACATTTCATGTTTGACGAATGTCGATACACATTTATAAAAACAATGTTATTTAAAACTATTACATACACAACTTCAATTCGTGGCTCGTACAGTCTTAATGCTTTTGGTTTCTTCTTTTGAAACACAATATATTCTAGCTTTTTGTTCTTCAATTCTTTTAAGTCTTTTTGTAATTGTTTAATATGTTTCTTTACATTTTTCGGATATTTATCGAAGATATTTGGTTTAAGTAATTTTATAATTGGTTCGAATATCGAATATACAGCTTCTAGTTCTTCAAAATGATTCTTAAATTCACGCAATAAGTTTACGGTTGTTAACAGAGCTGTTATTCTAAATTCATCGTCTAAAGATTCATCTACTAAATCATTTGCTTTCATAAGTGTGCTACTTGGGTTAATATCTAAATGAGTTTGGTCATCATCAAGTACTAATAAATTACTCAATTCTCCAATTGTTTTAAATGGCGGTATCATTTTCATTCCTTGAATTAAATGCTTGGGTGTAGATATGTAAATTACTCCACGCAAGAAATTTATTACAGATGGAGCAAATCGTTTGCTTATTGCCGTGTACTGTAAATAAAACGTTGATATTTAATATACCACAATTTTGTATATCATATTAAATTATACATATAAAATTAAAAAGCAATTCTATTTACCTCTAAAACCAAAGTACATATGAAAAGACCTTTCGAAATGTCTATTTTATTTTTAACGCGACTTCTAAGTAAAATTTGAGACATAAATATTAGACAAGGGGTAGTGATAGGATGTCTGAAATCGGACGTCGGATATATTAATGAAACTAATTTAAAGAAAATAAGCTGAAACAAGAAATATTTGTTAGAAAATTGTACTTGATTGTATATAAAATATGTTTTTAACATAATCATGTGTTAAACATACTGTATCTAGACCAGGATATTTCTTTTTATTTTTTTCGAACTCCTCGTGTTTTTCTTTAATTATAGCTTGTACAACAGTTCTAGCATTTGCTGAATTCAAATGTGCAAGATCATATAAGAAAGGAGATAATCTGAGACAAATATGTATAATTAATCATTTATATGCTGTAGTAAAAGCAAAAATAAGTTTGATAACTTTTCCTTATTTGCATTATTTAATGACCAATGATTGCATTTAATTATACGGTCTATGATAATTGACTGATAGTCAGCATTATGATTATGCAGTAATTCCTGTAATTCTTCAAAACTTTCTGGTATGTTAAAAGTATAAGGTAGTTCTTCCCTTGCTTTTTCCATGATGTCCTTCCTCTTCAAAAGATCATCTCTAATTTCTTGTTTTCTACTTTTATCACTCAACTGAGAAACATCTGCATCAGTTTCTGGTTTTATACTTGATTTTTCTTTTGAAACAACTTTATTATTTTTTTTATCTAACTCATTCTCATCTTCACTAGAAGATTCTGATTCTTTTAAATCTGATAAATCATCATCTGTAGAATCTTCAGGATCTGAGTCTCCTTCATTAAAATTTTCATCTATTTCACTTTCAGCATTTTCTGTTTCTCCTTTTTTCTTAACAGTGCCATTCATTTTAACACTGTTTGATTGTTCATCCTCATGGTCATTAGCAGTTTCTTCTTCATTATTATTAGAAATTAATTCATCATTATCATCATCTTCATTGCCATCATTACTCTCATTTTCTACAGTATCCTCAACATCAACATCAGTATCACTATCATCTTCATCACTTGAATCCTTCTGTGTATCTTTATCTAAATTTTCTTCATCAACTAATGGTTCATCATGTACAGCTTCTAATGCAAAGCCATCATCAAGATCATCTGCAGATTTGTGCCTAATTTCATTACTTGAATTATTTACAAGCCCTTTCATTCTTATTAATCGATCTGCTTCAAGAGCTTCCAGTCTTTCTTTCTCCTCTTTAATAATTTCTTCTTCAGATTTTAATTTATCTGTTGGCATACCTTTAGCTTCAAATTTTAATTCACGTAAAGCAATATCAAAATCATCAGCTTTTGTTTTTTCAATTGTTTCTTCAGTGGATTTATTAGCTGCTGAAATAATTGGAAGGAGATCTTTCCATTCAGAATCAAGTTTCTCTGTTAAATCTAAGGTTTCCTCACGTATCTTCTGTTTCTCAGCTTTTCGTTTTTTTGATTCAGCTATAAGTTCATCAATAATATCTTTCCTGGACTTTGTACTTTCTGGTTTTGACAAAATACCACCACCAAAGTGAGCTTCACCAACAAACTTGTTATCTAATTTTCCACTTCTATTTTCATCATCACTAATCTCATCATCACTTTTTGGATCATCAAATTTTTCAATTTCTTCTAAAGTTTGACCTCTGTGTGTTAATACTTCTTCATCATTTAAACTATAAATATTTTTTTTCTTATGAGCTTTCATATGTTCTGCTGCAAATCTAGCTATGGCTTTGTCTTCTTGACTCATAGCTAAATTTCTTTCACCTATACGTTTGTCTAAAAATAAATTATCCTTATTTTTCAATTTATATTCTTGAAGAAGTGTTCCTTTCCGTTTGTTGATTGCTTTTGTACGTGATACACCTGGAAGCCCTCTGTCTGCTTTGCTTTTTCTTCCCAAAACATTTTGTTTATCTCTATTTATATGCACTTCAAATGGATTCAAAGATTTCTTGTTTTGTTGATTACGCTTTTGTTCAGCAATTTC